AAGATTGACACGTGACCTTATATATATATATATATATATATATATACAGTTTTTTGGTAGAGGTAATTTCTCAATCACCACACAGTATCAGAGAACATGCTTACGTCACAAATACATAAGAAAACACAAAACCGAAGTAAAAATCGAATCACTCGAAATACATTGGAGTATGTTTTTTTATTTGTTCAAAAAGAAACTTTAAAATGTAGTGTACTATCCGGACGGTTCTGTTTAAGTCACAGTGTTTGTTATTTATCTTCAATCTGTCTATCGTACCCCGGCGAATCAGCGGTAAGTTTATGAACTTACGACGCTATAATCCGGGGTTTGATTCTCATCAATGTACAGAGACGGTAAGCCCCATTATGTTGCTTTGTGGTTAAACAAAATTTATCTCATAAACTGAACTGCTACAAAGAAATGTAGTTAAAAACTATTCAATAATTTGTACAAGTACAAGATTGAAGTTTCGCGAGTATATTTAGCTTTCTTATTGAGAATAAAATAATATATATACTATCATTTATAAGGTTAGTGATCTTAGTTCAGCCTGGAAATCGACATCTCCACTTGCACAGCATTTTGTTTTTATTGTGTTGTGCTATTTAAATTAGAAGGTGAATTAACTCAAGTTTACTTCTCAGAAAGTGAAGTAAGTTAAGTCGTGTTTATTTCTAAGAAAGTGATGTAAGTTAAGTCGTGTTTACTTCTAAGAAAGTGAAGTAAGTTAAGTCGTGTTTACTTCTAAGAAATTAGGGTAAGTTAAGTCGTGTTTATTTCTAAGAAAGTGAAGTAAGTTAAGTCGTGTTTATTTCTAAGAAAGTGAAGTAAGTTAAGTCGTGTTTACTTCTAAGAAATTAGGGTAAGTTAAGTCGTGTTTATTTCTAAGAAAGTGAGGTAAGTTAAGTCGTGTTTACTTCTAAGAAAGTGATGTAAGTTAAGTCGTGTTTACTTCTAAGAAATTAGGGTAAGTTAAGTCGTGTTTATTTCTAAGAAAGTGAAGTAAGTTAAGTCGTGTTTATTTCTAAGAAAGTGAAGTAAGTTAAGTTGTGTTCATTTCTAAGAAAATAGGGTAAGCTAACTCGTGTTTACTTCTAAGAAAATAGAGTAAATTAACTCGTGTTCACATTACGTCAATCAAAATACTTCAGTCACACTACATCGATCACACTACGTCAATCACATTACGTCAGTCACACTACATCGATCACACTACGTCAATCACATTACGTCAGTCACACTACATCGATCACACTACGTCAATCACACTACACCAATCACTCTACATCGATCATACTACGTCAATCACACTACACCAATCACACTACGTTAATCACACTACGTCAATCACACTACACCAATCACACTACGTTAGTCACACTACATTAATGATTATCTCTACAATGTAAAAGACAAATTTGTGTATCCTTACCAAGTCTGGGATGGAATGTTTTCCTGAAATATATATATATATATATGTATATTTTCTGTCTTACGTTATACAGTATTGATAGCGTTGATTGTATTCAGAAAACTACATGTTATTCCTCAACAACTCCCTGAACCATTAAGCTGTTATTACCGTTCTTCCTGCATCTTCTGCGGTCTTGAGATCAAGATGATCGTACTTTGATGTTGTCGCATCTACTGGTGATGAAAAAGTACGTCTAACCGGATCACGATTACTTTCAAGTGGTGTTTGGCTATGAAAAGAAGTCACCTGACTTCGCACTGATGCCTGGGAAACAGAGCTTGCTCGACGGGACCCTGTTAAAAGTGAAACAAAAGAAAATTATAATACCTTAAAATCCCCAAAAGACAAGATTTATTTTCGGTTTTAGCCTTCTACTTTGGGAAGCCCCCCAGTGGCACAGCGGTATTCTGCGGACTTCCATCACTAGAAAGCGGGTTTCGATACCCGTTGTGGGCAGAGCACAGAAAGCCCATTGTGTAGCTTTGTGCTTAAATACAAACAAACAAACTTAATACTTTGTGAAACACCTTAAAATCCCCAAACAACGAGTTTTGTCTGAGTTTCAGTATTTTGTTCGAACAACGTCATGAAACTCTTATTGTTTCAAGTTTAATCAACAGATGTTTACTGATGGTTAGATTCATTGCCATACCACCTTTAGAAAACAGAGATTGAGAAGTCATCTATCTTTACGAAAAACCAAATAAACACTCGGTTTCTCTTAGAACCCATCATTGTTTGGCTATTTTTATGCAATTAGTCTCACAGTTTTTATTCCGGACATATTGATCGATCAGTTTCAAAATAAATTTCTTCCTATAGAAAATAGCGAGTTTTCTCTATTTCCAAATCTATTGAGAAAACGACGTCTAAAACGAATTATATGAATTATAATTGTAGATAAGTTAGTATTAATATCAATAATTAAAATGTTGAGCTTACCTGAAGACATAGGGGGCGCTAGCATAGAATAGCTTGCCCTTCTTGACCGTGGAAGTTGTTCATTACAGCTGCTGCATCTTGATGGTCGACGTGAATGTGGTACTGAAAGTGGTACCTCCATTCCAGTCAAGACTACAGAGGGCGCTGCTGCGTTACCAAATCTTGCCCTATTTCTACCGAATCTCGCTCTGCAAAGATATATATATATATATATCGTCATAATCAAACTTATTTATAAAAATGATAATAGTGTGTTGATTATTCCTTCAATCTCTACTGGTTATTTATTAAAATATTATCTTTATCGATATTTCCAGTTATTGTACTTTATCGATTTTCGAGTTTTTATATAACTTATTCAAGAATAAACAACAAAAAAGTGAGCAGTACGGTATACCGTACTGCTCAGTTTTTATCTTACTGACGCACCGTACTGCTCAGTTTTATCTTACTGACGTACCGTACTGCTCAGTTTTATCTTACTGACGCGTCAGTAAGATAAAAAAAACTGAGCAGTGCAGTACGTCAATAAGATAGATTGAAGACAAACCTACGTACTCGATCTGTCTATTTGAAAGTCTGGGCCTAGCATGACCTGGTGGTTGGGCGATTGGCTCGCAACCTGCGGATCACAGGTTCGAATTCCATGATCAAACATGCTCGCCCTTTCAGCCATGGGAGCGTTATAATGTGACAGTCAATCCCACTCTTCGATTAGGATGCTTTTTCTAACATGCTATCATAATAAAACGTTTTATGGACGTAATAAAATTTTTCCACAATTCTTACTTTTGTTAGAACGAAAAATAGTGAAGCTAATTATATTTTTTTTATGCTGGTCCTGTGCAAACATTTTGACTCTCCAAGAAAATAAGACGGTCATCGTACCGAAGATGATATTGAAAAAAAGATCTTGAAATAAACTCAGCACTTCAAAGCTACCTAAAAACCTTGTACAAAATTAATATCTTAACATATACGTGACCTAGCATGGCTTAGTGGTTAGGGCACACAAATCGCAATTTAAGGATCGCGATTTCGAATCCTATCACCGACCATGCTCGCCCTTTCAATTGTGAGGAGCGTTATAAGGTGACGCTCAATCCCACTTTTCGTTGGTAAAAGAGTAGCCCAAAAACTGGCGGATGGTAGTGTTGACTAGCTACCTTCCTCTCTAGTATATCACTTCTAAGTTAGGAACGGTTAGCGCAGATAGCCTTCGCGGGAAATTGCGAACACATAAATTCCATAAAAATATACGTATTTTTATGTAAGTGTGATGTAACCAATATAACCTGATCAAAGTAGGCTTAGCATTGCTAAAGCCTTTAAAATCTCCCAGTTTTTCCATTATTGCCGTATGTTTTAACAATTTTTATTTCGTAGCTTTATATATATATATGACATAAAGTCTGAATGAGCAAAATCAATACAAAGGTAAATGAGAATGCGTCTGTCTTGGGCTACGCTTTTCTTTACAAATGTTATTATAGATCTTAATAGAATTAACCGTTCTTTTTATAAAGAGAAAAATTGCGCAAATGTTTTAGTATTTAAGTTTAACACGAAATATTCGCCGAACTGCTTACAAAGTAGTATATTTAGGAAAAGCCTAAACTTTGATATTTTTAACAAGAGTGTATTTAATTAAAAAAATAATTTAATTTTAGCAGGAAAATACATTTACCTTTATCTTTTAATTGCGTAGTAATTGAATGATTACGTCTTAGAAAAGCGAAATGAATAACTGAGCTCAAAGTCTCCTACAGGGGCTCACTGATAAGTCTGAAGGCTTATAACTCTAAAATCTGGGTTTCGATACCTGTGGCGGGCACAAAATAAATAGCCCATTGTGTAGCTTTGCTCTTTACAACAAACCTAACAAAACCTGAGCTTAAAAACGAAACTATGAAAACACAAATTACCGAATAAATATAAAATATAAATTAGGTAATATTACAACTTCTCTTAAAGATAAGGAAGTTTTTCCCAAGATAATATACCATTTTCATCTCTTTTATGCAACAACATCCAAAAAAGAACGACTTTGTTGTGCTGTAAAGTTTAAACAACAATAGGGAAGAAAATCTTTTAAGGATCAAAACTAAACCTTATGTGGTAAAGCGCGTGGTAAAATAAAGTAAAGACGATCGTAATTATTATTACTTTTAAGTTTATGTTTGTTTGTTTGTTTTTGAATTTCGCGCAAAGCTACACGAGGGCTATCTGCGCTAGCCGTCCCTAATTTAGCAGTGATAAGACTAGAGGGAAGGCAGCTAGTCATCACCACCCACCGCCAACTCTTGGGCTACTCTTTTATCAACGAATAGTGGGATTGACCGTCACATTATAACACCCCCACGGCTGAAAGGGCGAGCATGTTTGGTGTGACGAGGATTCGAACCCGCCACCCTCAGATTCCGAGTCGAGTGCCGTAACCACCTGGCCATGCCGGGCCTTTAAGTTTATACTAAAGAGTATGGAAATAAGAAAAACACTGATATCATTAAGTCCAGTTTTCACTCGTGTTAAAAGATTTATATATATATATATGTGTGTGTATAAAAGAGAAGAAAAACATACTTTTATGAAGTTATATATATATAAAACAGTTAAGAAAAAATATACCTTTATAAAGTTATTAGTTTCAAAGCTTGTTTGTTAGAAACAAAAAACAAGTCTCATCCAGAACCACATACATACTGAGAGCCATTTTTAAGACTTGTCTGGAAAAAGGTGCTTAAAAACAATGGGAATTCCTGTGAGGTTAAGTTTTAAGGTTTACTTCTAAAGGAAAGGACAGAGGCTATCATGACAGCATAGTTTTCGGACTTACTCCAGTAAATAAAACAATAAGAAAGACGAAGATAGTTAAGTTTCAAAAGTTCGGTAGTAATTCGTGTGGGAAGATGTTAAAGAAGAAGATGAATTCCTTTACTTTAACTGCTAAAGATGTAAAAAAAACGGAAAAAGAAAAACGTAATGGCCACTTTTATAACTTACCTGCTGAAAAGTCTAAGAACTAGACAGAAAAGGGCAGTCCCGATCATTACTCCAGAGACCACCATGATAACGGTAATGATGTCGGAATTTTCCAAGATCCCGCTCCTTCCATCTGTAAAACACCACTTAAATGTATTTCTCAGAATTGTCTGTTATATATATATATATATATATTTTTCGGTTTTGCATTAATGGTTTATCTATTTAATATAATTGCCAAGCAATGCGCCATCTAGTGGCGATCAGTACATGCTGAATGGTATCGAACTGCATATCTCTAAATTTATTTGTTTATTTTTGGATTTCACGCAAAGCTACACGAGGGCTATTTGCGCTAGCCATCCTTTATTTAGCAGTAAAAAATTAGAGGGAAGGCAGCTAGTCATCACCACCCACCGCCAACTCTTGGGCTACTATTTTACCAACGAATAGTGGGATTGACCGCCACATAATAACGCCCTCACGGCTGAAAGGGTGGGCATGTTTGGTGGGACGGGGATTCGGACCCGCGACCCTCAGATGGCGAGTCAAGCGCCCTAACCACCTGGCCATGCCGGGCCATCTCTCTAACTCATTATTTTAATAGATTTTTATGGTCTCTAGGATTCTATATGTATCACAAACAAAATGATAATATTGTTGTTGTTGTTGTTTTTCAGATATAAGTATGGAAGAACTAAGTTTTGAAAATGATTAAAAAATTGGCAGATTATAAAGTATAAAGTTGAGAAATGTTTTAATAGTTTAGAACACTGACCAAGTACACCGTAGCTAATTCTCAGTAAATGTTTTAATAGATTAGAACACTGACCAAGTACACCGTACCTAATTCTCAGTAAATGTTATACATATTAGAACACTGACCAAATACACCGTAGCTAATTCTCAGTAAATGTTATACATATTAGAACACTGACCAATTATACCGTACCTAATTCTCAGTAAATGTTATACATATTGGAACACTGACAAAGTATACCGTAGCTAATTCTCAGTAAATGTTATACATATTAGAACACTGACCAAGTACACCGTAGCTAATTCTCAGTAAATGTTATACATATTAGAACACTGACCAAGTACACCGTAGCTAATTCTCAGTAAATGTTATACACATTAGAACACTGATCAATTCTCAGTAAATATTATACATATTTTTTATATACATTCATCTGAATTTACTCCATTGTTTATATTTTAGAAATGTATATTGTTCCAAGGCGAACAGATGGATTAGTTAGATTCATTTATAAATCCGTATTACTATCTTTATTTATAGTCAAATTTATGAAATGATCAAATTTTTCCATTTCTCTGTTTTCTAACGAAGAGATGAATTTACGAAAATAAGTTTCTGTTGTCGCTTTTTTTTCTCTCGTCGTATACTGAGACTAATTGTTCACCAGAGTTCTTTTTTTAACAGTTAGGGTTAGTATTTATAAGATGAAACAGCCTGTAGGATGTTTCTACCAGATTCAATCGATAGATCGACACACAAATCAAAAACAGGCAAACCGAAACATAAACAGCTTTAGCGATAGACGAGCATTAATTTATAAAAGTAACATTAATTACCATCTGCGCAGATTTGTAATGAACGTAGTATGTGTAGTTTTGAGGCTCTTAAAGAAACAGTCATGAATAATTCTTATACTCACCATGAACGCACTGTTCTTCTCCGTCTACGATATGATTCCGAAACCCATCCTCACACCGACATTCTCCATCTTCATTACAGATGGCGTTCTCATCGTAAAAGGTACAGGATTCACTATACTTACAGCTCCTCCATAATTTTACAGCTATACGTTTATAAATAAATAAATATATACATACATATATGCGTAGAAAATGCACTACTTAAGTTCTAAAGGCATATTTTGTACTATGTCTACATCTGTGTCAAGTTTTGTTACTGCGAAAACACTGAAATAATATAGTTGTTTCCATTAACTTATAAGTCAGAATAACCTAGCACACAAGGTGTTCAGTACGGTTCACTCACTGGTTCAAGAGTAAGAATTATTGATCGTTGCTAGCCATAGAAAAAATAATCAAATTGAATTGTAATAAAAAACTGAATAACTCAAAAAAAAAAAATCTGGAAAGCTATAGAATAACCACTGTGTTCAAAATGAAATAAAACTCGTGTAAAAGTAGAGATAAATCTGGGAACCTATAGAATAACACTGTGTTCAAAATGAAATAAAACTCGTGTAAAAGTAGAGATAAATCTGGGAACCTATAAAATAACAACTGTGTTCAAAATTAAATAAAACTCGTGTAAAAGTAGAGATAAATCTGGGAACCTATAGAATAACAACTGTGTTCAAAATTAAATAAAACTCGTGTAAACGTAGAGATAAATCTGGGAGCCTATAGAATAACCACTGTGTTCAAAATGAAATAAAACTCGTGTAAAAGTAGAGATAAATCTGGGAACCTATAGAATAACTACTGTGTTCAAAATTGAATAAAACTCGTGTAAAAGTAGAGATAAATCTGGAAACCTATAGAATAACAACTGTGTTCAAAATGAAATAAAACTCGTGTAAACGTAGAGATAAATCTGGGAACCTATAGAATAACCACTGTGTTCAAAATTAAATAAAACTCGTGTAAACGTAGAGATAAATCTGGGAACCTATAGAATAACCACTGTGTTCAAAATTAAATAAAACTCGTGTAAACGTAGAGATAAATCTGGGAACCTATAGAATAACC